ACTTTCCTATTAGTACACATGGAGTTTAGGGGAAGGTGGGCTTAAGACATCCTTTTCTTCCATCTTCCTACCTGAAATGTTCCTATTTTTCTATAGGTCCTCCAACACTGACTTCTCATTTTTCACTATCTTTGCTAATCTTCAAAGTTTGAGGTGAAACCTCAGAGTTCTTTTAATTTATGATTATTTTAATATTAGTGGTTTGTAGCATGTTTTATGTGATCATTAACAGTGATCATAATTCTCATTTTGAGAACTGTTTATTAATATCCTTTGACTATATTATCTGTTGGGGAATGGGTTATGTTTATGTCGGTTCCCTATCCAAATATCTGTATTTCTGTGTTTTCTCTCCTTTTTTCTATATTCATTGATTTTATGTGTATGAAAATGTTTTACTATTTTGTAATAGAAATATCTCTGTGTTGAATATCCTGCAAATATCTTGTTTATTTTGAAGAAATAATTAATTTTTTCCCTTTTGTTAAAAAAAATTGATCTTTTCCCACTGATGTTAAAAAGTTCAACTCTGAAGAATGTTTTAACTATGGATGCAACTTGATCTCTTTGCTTTTTTGAATCTCAAATCAAGTCTTTCGTTTTATTTCTCAGCGATCATAAGTAAGCCTGGGTTATTCATATATATTTTCCATAATAGCTGAAGACCTTTCTTTTAGCTTCCTAAAGCTGAAGTTTAAGCTTAGTTGTTGAAATTCTGACGTTTAACCACTTAACTTTGTACTGATTTACACTTGAAGTTTTTATTGCAGTTTGTTGACACACTGGATTTTGCCACTCTTTACTTTTATTTTGCCCTCTATGTCAAATATTTTTGGTCAGTTTCTTTTTCTTTTCCTTGAACTATGGTATTCAGGCTTTTTAATTCTTTTTTTTCTTTCCCTGGGAGACCTATGATTCTCCAGTTATCTTGTAATTATCTAAACATCTAATCTTCAAGGTCTATTGCTTTGGCTTGTCTAGAACATATGTGTTCTTCTAATATCCTTGTCTTATGATCTCATTTTGTCAAATTTTCTTCTACCTTGATATTTTTGCTTTCCAAATACTCGATTCTCTTTTTTAGAGTCCCTGCTATTTTTGAGAGATTGCCTTTCAGCTGTTCTAAATTGTTTACTCTTTTTTGTTGTTGTATGCGTTTCATCTTTTAGAACTCTGAATCCTGCTCTCGTTTCTGTCTGTATTTCTTTTTTTAGATAATGTATTCATTTACTGAGCCATTCTGTAGTTTCTTACTGTTGTTCCCTTATTTCTGGGGACAGGGGCTGAGATGGGTTCTGAAGAACTGCGGAAATTGTTTTTCTATCTTTTTCATTGGGGCTTTGGAGGTTACTATCCGTCACTGAATAATATTCAAATGTTGGGTTGCATTTCTATATAGATTATTTGCTCATTTTTCTTTCTCTCTTCATGAATTTCATGGCAGGTTTTTGTATTTTGGGGCTGGTCTTACATTTGACCTTTCTCTCTTGGCCTTCTTACCTTCCACTCATTTTCATCTGTTTCAGATGACTTTGTATTAGACTCTCTTATAATTAATCTCTCTCTTATATATTGCATCTTATTTTCTCTTGTCCAGATCACAAAGGCTAGGAGCTTTCAATGACTTCCTTGAATTAAGGCCATGGAGGTATATCTGGATCTCTGTTATGTGGAAGCCTCTCAGTGAGATAACTGCAGCTAGGTTGATAGCTTTCCTTTCCCATCAGCTAATTTCTTTTCCTTCTGGACATATTTGCCTCCCTTGCTGTTTCCTCTCACTCTTAATTGCCCACTTTGAACATTTTGAGTCCCAGTGACTTTGATGGTCTTCCTCTATTACTGAGTGTGAAGGATCAGACTTAGCCATTTTTGAAAGGGAAAAGATAGAAACCTCCACAGCCAAAAAATGAAATATAGGCCTTATCAGGTCACTGTGTCTGGAGGGGGGTGGTGAGTGTAGTTAACCTTCTGTTGTTATTTCAGAAGGCTTTACCCTCCAGAGAAGTACTTCTTTTTTTTCTGGCTGTTCTTTTAATTACTTTATTTGATATGCTTCTTATTGTTTTGAGGTAGTAGGTGAAGAGGTTCAAATTTAGATTTTAGAGGACATATGGGAAAGAGTAATGGACTTGGAGTTTTGTTAAAAAACTGGCTTTTAATCCCAATAATCTTATATTTAAAAGATAAAAATAAGGGCAAGTATTGGAGTGTGAATGAGTGTCCTGGTTCAGGAATGCTAAACTGCAGGATGAGGCAGTCTATAAAGGCTGAAACCAACAAAAGTGTTTTTTAAAAAGAAAAAATTTTAAGCTATGTTGGGGAAGACCGAAAAAGAGGCAAAAATCACTGTTTGATGTAGTGGAGGTGGTGATATTGTCTATTTCAAAGCAGACAGAACTACTCAACTCTGTAAGCTAAGGCCCAGAGAAAGGGGCTGACTTCCCTGAGATCATACATTTAGCAAGTGTCAGAACCATGGCACTACGGGCTACCTCTCCATCATCTGCAAACAAAAGTTCCCCTTGCCACGTTTCTAATTCTTTCACTCTCCCCATGGTCAAGACTAATCGTTGTGCCATGAGAAACCCTCCAGGTTCCCCTGCCACAGGGTATCCCATTCCTTACATGGCGCACTAAGCTTCCCCTAGGATTAGCACTGCCTCTTCTTTGGGACATCACAGCCTGTCTAGAGAGATTTCTCACGCTTCACAGGAGTCAGGGATGAGGTGATTCTGAGTCCTTGTAGGAGAGGGAGATTTTCTCTACAGAGAAAGGACTAGTTTCCTGAGGAATCTTCCTTAGAAGGAAACCACACAACAGTTTCTGGGGCTTATTTTTAAAGGTTCTTTCCCAGAGCACAGAATCTGGGCTAAACCCATGGCACCTCTATTCTGGGATTCTGGTTCTGCTCATGTCCTACCCTTTTCTTGGTCTTTCCATTACTGGAGGAAGGCAGCTAAAGCCTGAATTTCCAGATTTTTTGGGGGGGGAGGGGGAGAAGGAATAGGGCTAGGCCCCTCCTCACACCAACCTAAACCATGTTTGCAAGCAGTCACAACAAAAATGTGAGCCCTCCACTGTTCCAGCCAAGTACTGAAAAAAAGAAAGGAGGCCTAGGACCCGTCCAGGCCAAGACCTGGGGCCCAGAGCCAGGGGCAAAGGGTTGTGGGGTGGGGTGGGAGGGGAATTGGCAGGAGAACTATCCAGGAATAATAACTGTGGCTTAAGGTAGATGTTGTACCAGCTGCAACATGCTCCACAGGAAGAAACACAAAGACAAAGGTCCTATTATTTTTTTTTCTTTCAAAGCTGGGTCTAGGTCACACAATCTTTGCCCCTGGGTCACTGACAGTCAGGATTTCAGTTTCAGTAACCAGGGTCACCCTGTTTCCAAGTAGCATCCCAACTCCATCCTTCCAAGGGCATTCAAAGATGTGCTGATCTGACTGGTACTTTAGAGAAGTAAAAGATAAACACTCCCTTCCACCCTTCTCTCCCTTTCCCTCACTGTCTCTGCCCCCTTCCTTTACATCTGTTTTTTAATCTAAGTTGTTTGGAATGGGAGACATGTCCCAACCCAGACTTCTCCTTGGCTGGGTGGGAACTTGTTTTATTACGCAGGAATCTACTTTCTCAGGGGGAAGATATTTTACTAGGTGGATGAGTGACTCAGGGACTTTAATCATTCTGTGTGTGTGTGAAGAGGTGGAGGTGGGGGGAATGAAAAGAAAAGAAAGATTGCCATCCTTAGAGGTCAAAGTGTAGATGGATGTAAGCGTGGGCCACACATGCCAAGCTCAGGCTGCTAATGTCCCAGAACAGAGGGCATGCAAAATTTAGTGGGAAAAGCACTAGATTTGAAATCAGAAAACAACATTCCAAATCCTAGCCTTGGTCGCTGCTTTCTTAGGTGGCTTTTAAAAAAATTTTGGTTACTCTCATTTATGAAAAGAAGATTCAACAAAATGATTGTTACGATTGCTTCCATCTGTAAAATCCAGTGTTTTATTGCCTACCAATAACATCCCTTGACAGGATTCTGAGAAGGTAGAAAACTAAAATGTACAGGTCACCTGAGAGGCCTGAGGTAAAAGTTGCAAAGGTAAAAGTTAAAGTCTCTGCCCTGCCCTGATCTTTTGCCAAAGTTGATGGCAAGCAGTGGTACTGACCCAGAGGTTTTTGTTTTGAAACCTCCTCCCTTGGTCCCTTCCTACCCCATAGACAGGGTTGGGGCAGGAGACAAGAAGATACCTGGGTGTTGGGTAGTGGAGAGAAGAGAACAGGGGTCTGGATAATGAAATGATGGGGATCTATACTCTGTAGGGTAGAGGAGGAGATATCAGAGCTCTGGAGGAAAAAAAAAACCCAAGGCCCGGAGAGGGGAGATAACTTGTCTAAGGCCACACAGCAAGTTGGTGGCAGAGGTAGACCTGATTTCAGCAATCTTCCCACTCCTTCAACCTTACCGTCCTATGCCCAACTCCCTGCCTTCCAACTGGCATCGCTAATAGGTACCATGCCCAGCTCCTCTTCTTCATCCAAGCTCACCTTTGCTTATACTATTGCTGCTGCTGGGAATGTGCTGCTCCCTCTGCTTCTCCATCCTAAATCTTACTTCCTTTTCAATTCTCTTCCTTTCAATTGATCACATCTGTTAAATCTCTGCTATATGCTGAGCCCTAGAGACACAAAAATGGTCATGACCATCAATCCTGCCCTTAGAGAGATGAAGCCTATCTCAAGTTCCACTTCTTTGCAGTACTTTTCTACCAACTGTGGCCTCCTTTGAGGCCAGATTTTGAAGTCTGAATCACACATTCTAGCTTTGGTTTATGCACTATTTCATATTGTTATCTGCCTCATATTTCTGAAACTCCTCGTGAGTGTGAGCCACCTCAGCACAGGCTTTGGGCCTCCTGCTTCTCTGTCTTTCATAGACTTTCAGTGTCCTGAAACCAGATCTCCAGTCTCCTTCTCTTTTTCTTTCCAGTGTGACCACATTAGGATGTGCATGAAGGACTCAGGAAAAATTGGATTCAGATTTGTTCAAGGTCATACAGGTACTTTCTGCATGGAGTTGGGATTCAAAACTAAGCGCTCTGGTTTTAAAACCAGTATGTGTCTCACCACATCACAACTGTCAGAATTGGAGGGATTCCAAACCAGAAGGAGAGCAGGTGGGAATTTTGAAGCTTTCCATCTATCTATCTTTCTGTTCCTTACCCCGTGGGCACCCTTTGCTAGTAGCCCTCCCCCAGAATTCTCTTGTCCTGTTTTCTCTGAGGCTCTGCTGTCCTGCTCCTGGCAAAGCTGAAATTCCAATCCTGGAGGGGAGGGTGTATGCTGTGGCTGGGGGTAGAGAGGATGGTGGGGGCTGGGCCCAGGGGATCAGAGCCCCCGGGTTCTGTCTGCAGGTGGGGCCCTTCCAAGTCTTGGAGGGCTGGGCCAAGTCTGGTGTCACATTCCAGGCATGTAAAGACACAGCTGCCCCTCAACAGGTATTTAGCCCTGCAATTATCAAGGAAACAGAAGACTTGAAGTCTTTCAAGCAGAGAAATTAGAGGTTCCTTGGCCAAAGGCTGAGAGGCTTCAGGGCTGAGATGGTCTGTGGGCACCGAATGAATTTTGCCACTTACTCCTTGCCCTCTTCACAAATGTAAAAAGTAGAAAGTCAGAGATGTAAGAGACTTTAGAAGCCCAGACCATAACAGAGCTGAAACTGTAGAGATAAACTAGTGTAAGCCTTTCATTTTATCTGGGAAATAGGTCTAAATTCCAGTCTTCCATGTCCTGGGAGGCTTCTGGTGAGGACTGGGTATGCATGCACATACATGAGGTAGAGAGAAATAGAGACATGTACATATAGATTTGGACAGGAGCTCAGAGTGAGGACGGAAAGAGAGAGGGGAAAAGGAAAAGAAGAAGGGAGGGGAGAGAAACAGAGCCAGAGATAAGAAGAACCTGTTTTTCCATTTGTTGAGTTCCTCAGGGGCTGTAATCCCACGCAGGGGAGGCCAAGGCCCTGATATGAGTATATAGGATCAGGCATCTTCTGCCTCCACCTCCTTATTGAGGGCTCTGGGAGAGAAAATACCTCTGGGCCAGTGTGAGACCAGTCCCTGTTCCTTTAAACAAGTGTCTCATCTTTGCCATGTCTAGAGAGAACCCATATCTCTGAACCTTGCTTCTCAGCCCTATGAGAAGCTGCCATTCAGAAGTTCATCCAACTCTTGAGCAATTCCTCAGAGGTCCAAGTTTCCTGAGCCTATTCCCTCCTGAGGTCTGTGGTTTTTCCCCAGACTGTTCTCCTAGTGTCTATAGTATCTTCTCTTACTATATACAATCATCACTACCACCATAACCATCATTTTAATGATTATGAATGCTATTCTAATAGTAATGTTAATACCAATACTTTTATCAATAATAATTATAATTGATTCTGCTTTGACATCCGTCTTTGATGCTTAGTGTTATAGAGGGGATCTGAGTTCTCAAAAGCCATGCAGTGGACACAGTTCAAATCAAAGGCATTTCATGAAATTATCTAGTAGAAAAAGTAGTAATTGAACATTTATCCCAAAATCAGTGGTAGAGTCTCCCGCAAATAGGTACACATTCAGTGAGAGGCCTGGATGCACACATAGAGACACGGAGAATGTGTGGCCAGAATTCATGCACTGAGGGTCACTCCCACACCACAGGCTGCCAGGGTCTTATGATGATGAATTTTCTTGCTCTTGCTAAGCCTGTTCCCCTCTCTGGTTTCACAAGGCATATAATCTGTTGGCTGGTGTTTTGCTAAACTTGAGGTCACTGCTGGTGTTTGCCTGGTTCCATGGGCTCTACCAGGAATGGCTTCCTTGTGTATATGATTGTGGAGTTCCCCCTCTGTTTCCAGTTCTTCACTTTAGCAAAAGTCCTGAGCAGAGATTCTTTATTTTTTCCATAAAGTGAGAATAGAAGCTACCACCTCTCTTAAAACCCAGGGGATGAAGTGTTAGTTCCTTTAGGAAGTCAGGCCCTTCATACACCCAGTATTGGTCTAGGAAAAAATTCTCCTAAGAGAAGGAAATCTGTCAGTTCCCAGAACACTTTTCTTTCCAGAAACAGGAGTCTTCCTTTCCAGGGCTGAAGATCTTTTGAAACAAAAAACAGACAGTCAGCTAAGGAGTGACTATATTCATTTAATCTATTTTTGAACCTTACTTCCCCCTATTAGGAGGATGCCCTTGCTTGTCCGAAGTCTTTATTTGATTTAGGGTTAGAAAATTATTGTAAATCCCATAAAATTTCTGATTGTCAACATTCATCCCCTTCAGAATCAGGGACTGCCCTCTGATTTCTCAATCTCCAAATTCCTTTGGGTTCTTATGCAACTGAAAGGGAGAAAAAATGACAAGGAACAAAATCTCCCAAGTGAATCTGAATGCAGTCACATACTCTCCACCTCAAAATTTCCTTCCAAATTTCTGCCTCTGTTGTGTGAACAGCCGCAAGCCTTTGAGGCATTGAAGAGGCTTACATTCTTATTAAGGATAATAGCCGGGACATAACCAACAAGGTTTGGATTAGTAACTTTCTTCAAACCACTTCAACTCTACAATTCACCCCCTCCTCCAAGGAATTATGTACTGGATGTAATTATGGCCAAATCCACAGGAAAAAAGACTGACAGAACACTGACATGGTAAAATTCTTTATTAGTACTAGGGAATTTTTGGACTTTGGGGAGTTATTGTCCAATTACCACTGGGTACAGGTAGGAATGTGGAGGGGCTTGATGAGGTCCATGTTTATTTTTACAATCAAAATGGTTACTCAAGGTTTGCCTTTGCCCCTGGGTCTGCTGTACCTCCTATGTGAGAGCCTGTGCTTCTGCCCACTATGCTGCCACTGTGGCCTGCTTTTGTGATGGTTAGGTGGATAGTTTCAAGGTCTGCTTGTCATGTCCTAACAGTAAACCTTGGTCCTCTAAGCATCCCCAGAAAAGAGTTATCCAACAACCAGTGATGCTGTACTGACAGCAATATGGAGGCACCAATCAATTCTAGGTTATAGTAAGCGAAGAGCTACAGTCTATGTCTATGCCCGTGCGTACTCTAATTTATGCTGCCACTTGGGGTCTGTACCGATGGCATATACTTCCACTATCGCTGAAGCCAGCATTATTGCCTGTGGCCACCTTGTGCGGGGGCCCAGCAATGTGCTTTACTTGTCACTGCTTTCCTTTGCTAGGGCAGAAGCTCAGCCAAAGGTGCTGTCATTGCTAGGGTCTGAATGTGCCTGCCTCCCGAGTCTGGAAGCCTCACTGCACTCTTCACTCAAGGGGCTGGCACAGTGAAGCAGATCCTGCAATTTCTGGGGCTGGACTTTGACTCCCTGTGGCAGCCTTGGGTTCTGTCACTGCCTCCTACCCCCTGCCCTGAGCAGGGGCGGCGTATGGTGCTGCCATGAAGTCTGCTCTTTGCTCCCCAATGCTGGGATCTATCAACAACACCCCGTCCCCATCCACATATTCCCTGTGCTAGGCCAGGCGTTACCCCTCCCACCACCCTGCCCCTTGGGGATAGTCTGAGCTCCAAGTCCAGTACGTCACTGGTTGGTTCACTGCAATGATAAAGTCAGGATTAGGGCCAGAAGGAGTACCACTCTGCTTTCTTTGGGAGCGGGGGTACCAGATTAGAATTATATGTATCTGCTCCCTTAAATATTGCCATTCTAGGGAATATAGTGTTCAGGTTCAAACTACATTCTGATCACTATTCATTTAATAAGGAAAAAAGGCCAAGCTTCATATCCAAGGCTTGACTCCCTTCCCATCAAATAACGTTCCATAACGAATACACAATTTGCAAAGAAACCCATTTGTCCATAGTCAAGGACAAAAACAGAAATCAGAGAAAGTATGCATAAGAGGATAGCTCCTATGGGCAACTAGATGTCACAGTAGATAGAGTGCCAGGCCTGGAGTCAGGAAGACTCATCTTCCTGAGTTCATATCTGGCCTCAGACACTTACTAGCTGTGTGACCCTGGGCAAGTCATTTAACTCCCTTTGCCTCAGTTTCTTCATCTGTAAAATGAGTTGGAGAAGGAAATAGCAAATCACTTCAGTATCTTTGCCAAGAAAATCCCAAAAGGACTCACAAAGAGTTGGAAATGACTGAAAAAAAACTGAACAACAACAACAAAATGCATAGGAGGATAAATACCAGATAATACAGAGTAAAGGAGCTCTTGGATTGGGACTGAGATAATTCAGTTTTGAACTGAATTTGAAAATCTAGTTTTGAATCCCAACTCCATCTCAACTTTCAACCAAGAGAAAGAGAGAGTCCTAGATCTCTCTCAAGGGGAAGTCTCCCAAAGTCTCTAGTGTAGCAAACTGGGGATAGGGACATGATGGAGACTGCCAACTCCTTTCGTGTTAGCTTTTTCCCTGGTCTTTTACTTCAACAACCTGGAGTGGGGTTGGCATCTTCTGTCTCAGAGCTTGGAGTCAGTAATGACTGCAGAGCCTGAAGAGACTCAAACAACTTTTAGAAAGTCCAGAGGCTGAAGAGAGTCTTAAAGAGAGTCTGAAGCGATTCAGTGACTTGAAGAAAACTGAAGAACTCTCCTCTCACTCTTGCTAACTTTGCATTGCCTCTCACATAGGTATGGGGCAGTGATCTCTACCAATGAGGAGAAAGTCCCATACCAATGGGCTTTAGGACTGGAGTTACACACAATATTGTTCAATAAGCAAAATGATAATTGAACTGAATATTAAATATCATACTTAAAAAATTAGAAGAGAACTTTGTCACATTTATAAGAATATGAGCCATTTCTCACTTGATTAATGGTCAAAGGATATGAACAGACAGTTTTTTGATGAAGAAATCAAAGCTATACATAGTCGTATAAAAATGCTCTAAATCATTATTGATTGGAGAAATGCAAATTAAAACAACTTTGAGATGTCATCTCACACCTATCAGATTGGCTAAAATGATAGAAGGGGAAAACGACAAATGTTGGAGGGGATGTGGAAAAATTGGGACACTAATACACTGATGGTAGAACTGTGAACTGATCCATCCATTTTGGACAGCAATGTGGAATTATGCCCAAAGAGTTATAAAACCATGTTATCTTTTGATTCAGCAATGCCACTATTAGGTCTGTTTCCC